TTTTTCCTTTTTCTTTTTCCTCCCCCTTTTTTTTCTGCTTTTTTTCAGCTTTTGGTTCCCCCCCCCCCCCTTTTTTTCGTTTTCCCGATTGAACCAGTAGGGTGGCGTGATAGCCAGGCCCTGACCGAATAAAATAGAACCCTTAGGCACCACTGAGAGATCACGGAAGCAACTCGCTCTCGGAGCATGATGAATAACTGTGTAGGTACGAGAGTCATTGGGTGCATGAGTCGGTCTTAATTTCGCAATTGGGTTTGTTGATTGACCTATTCCGCCCCTATAGCTTTTCCAGTTATTGTAGTCTTCTTCACTCTTTCCACTTTTTTTCTCCTCCTCCCCCCTTTTTCCGGTGTCTTTTTTTCGTTTTTCTTTTTTCCTTTTCTACTTTTTTACCTTTGTTTTCTCGTTTCCTTTTTTCTTTTTTTTCTTTTTTTTTTAGTACATAGGATAGGCGTGTATAAGTGGGTGGATAGCCTCGATAGCTTGTATCGGAAGGCTGTAGATCGGGAGCGCGCATCGCGACTATATCAGAACAGAACGCAGGGGCTCTATTCATCAGAGCACAGTGCGAACGACGGACAACCAACGAAGCAACTTTGTTCTCCGCGATTGCGAGGGGTGGGTGGATCGACGGGCGGTATGGACTTCTTCGCGGACTGGGACCTGGAAGAACAACAGCAAGACGAGGAGGAAGTGATAACGTTGCTGGAGAACGGCACTTCCCAGGCTCTGTGTCCTTACCCCGGTGTCTGAGCACTCCGGAGCTGGGCTTCATGCATGCTGCCTCTACCTGCCCCGCCGAACCCGCTCCGGCTCGCCTGACCCCAGCACCAGCGCGAAGCGTCACCTTCCTGCTCCTCCTCCTCCTCGCCTTACTCCCCAATCTCGCCATAGCCTGCGCGCTGTTTGTCGCATGCCTCACGGAGGGTGTTTTTTTTCGTCTATCGACGAAGCGCTTTGCGTTTTTAGTAGGTTGCACTATTTGCTTTGCAGCTTTATTCCTCGCCTGCTGCTGTTGCCTGTTCTTTGTCATAGGCGCTGGTGGTTGGTTTGAGCACTAGGCGAGCCGAGGTGTTAGTGGAGAAATGGTGATGGAGCGTAGATCTGCAGCGGAGGGGTCGGCTTGCGCCTTTCTGACCTTTCTCTCTTTCCTCTCCTTCCTTTCCTTCCTTTACTTCATCCACTCCCTTCCCTTCCCCCCTCTGCATG